GAAAATCCAATTTCATGGCACAACTCGACAATCAGACTTACATTATTAATTTGTATATTTAATTTGTAAACCATTGTTTTCGCGAAATTTTATTATTCGCCTTGTTATATTACAAAAATCTGCCAAAAGTAATAAATGCTATAAAACCAAATTGTTAGTTTTATGAATTTTCTTGGTCGCATTTATTTTTAACAAGGACGTCGGAAGACAATTTTTATGGGCCATTTATCAAAGAAATGATATTTTCAGGTTAACTCCATGTTTTATTGCCGCTTTGCTATTCGCTACTTTTTTTTTCATTTTATTTATTCTGAGTTTTCGTTCAGCCTTTCCGTATGATATAGCATCGCTTATGATTACAAAGATTTAAATGAATCGCGTCGACCAAAATGTCTCTTGTAGAAGCGCCATGGTGTCGTCTATTTTAATTATATAGAAGCAATAAATATGTTTTGTTAATAGAATAAATAGCAAAACAAAAAGAAAAAGAAAATGTAGTAATAATAAATGGACGAAAAAAATCACGTCGCTCAATGCATAGATAAAGATCATATTTCATAAACATCCACATATCATTCTTTCTTTCTCTTTATATATATATATATATATATATATATATATATATATATATATATATATATATATATATATATATATATATATACAGAACTCTCCTCTTGTTTTAGACGTATGAAGGTCAGGCAGCAAAGTTCTTCGAACTAACAGCACATATCATTTGATAATAGTGGTGAAGGCTTGTGCAGAACCAACCACTCTTTTGTGAAGAGCCCATTACAGAAAACTGGTGTAGAATATGCTACAAGGTTCCGCTCTACGATTCTTCAATCCGAAAGGCAATGGATTACTCCATCGTGCCTAGCTCTCTTTCACATGTCTGTCTATTTTTCTTTCTGTCACTCTCTTACACTCTCAGTCAATACATATATATATATATATATATATATATATATATATATATATATATATATATATATATATATATGCACACACATGCACTTTGAAATTATATTAAGACATTTTTTTATGTTTATAAAAAGAACGTATTAACATAAATAAAATGTCTTAATATAATTGTCGAACTTTGTCTATTTCATAATGCATCACGTCATTTATTTACATTTGGAAACGCCACGAGCAGATATGAACGTACATGAGAGAATCATGGAAGATTGTATTTTAAAGACAGTAAAATCGACATTGCTTACCGAATGCTCCTCTGCTTTCAGATATTCAGGTAGATGAAGAACAGGTTAAAATCGTATTGTGTCGGCACCACCGTCTTTCCAAATGAGTAATGGTAAGAGGACAAATGGTAATTCAAACCGTCAGTCATGGTACCGACTTTAGTACTCTTGTTTCCATCTTCAATGTCCATTATAGAACGAGCAAGAGAACGGTGAAGAAGTTTAAGGAAAGAGGGAAAGGTAGAGAGGACATCTGGGTCAGGAGCAACCTCTTAAAAATTACCAAAAATATCTCTAGAGTCTCCATGAACACCGACAGAATACAGTTTTGTAAACGACTTCCATGTAACCATTTAAAAAATGCTACTATTGTTCATTAACGTCCCTGCCATTTCCATATCATCGATACGTTGTTCTTGTTGTTTTCCTAACGAGGTTTAACATAGTGGAATTTTTTATTCGATGGCGAAATTGTCAAATAAAATAAGGATTTATGCCTAACTGGAATCGCGTTATGCAAAGAGACTCAGTATTTTCTTGTCACCCTCTTAAAAGACAGATTTCATTTAAACTAAATTTGTTATCAGGCAGTATTTCTTTTTAATGTTGGTAGATATTAGACAGATTCTGGTTGGAGACACATTATGAAGATCTATAATAACCATAGCGCTGTGAGAAATGCAAAGTTTATAATGACCGTGTTTTCGAATATGCCAATAGATAATCTGATTATTAAGCAGAATATTCAATTGACAAAATATAAAACAAAACACGCGAAACGGTTAAGTTGGAATAGATAGAACAAAGAAAGTAGAAACAATGAGAACTTATATGGCTACAACATAAGCCGCAAAACAAGAGTAAATGTTTTATTTCACTAATATTTCAGACCTAAAACACACTGCAAAAGATTTTGACTTAGGGGGAATATTTTAAAAATAGAAATCCCAGGGTAAAATAACTTATTTGTAAAAACAGTACGACTAGTGGTAAGGAAATATTTTTCATTTTTTGTGAGGTTTCGTTGAATAGTTTAATTTAGTAATTAAAATAATGTTGAATGTCACTTCCATGTTATCTATACCTATAAAATTAGAGCCTCTGTCTGTTTGTTTATTTGTTATCGAACTCCTCCTAGGCTTTGGAGATAGACACTCATAACCATAAATATTCTAAAACTACATTACCCATGGTATGAAGTATATTTTTATTTCCATTAAAGGGAGTCCGGGGGAACGTAAGCCCCAATTGTATTTGTTTCTCTTTGACATGAATTAAATTTTCATGTGAACAAGGGAATGGCTCGTACGGTAATTGTAGATTTCATTTTTGTCAAAGCGAGTTCCTGTGGGGGGGGGCAAACCTCACATTAGATTTGTTTCCCTTTAGTTTAAATTAAATTTAAATTTGAATAAGAGAATGACTATTATCCAAAATATACAAGGAGAAAGTCAGAAGATGGAGGTCACATCGGAAATTTCAAAATGAGACAATACGGTCGTTAAGCTGAGCAAGAAATCACCAATCAGTGGGTAATGCTTTACAATACATAATTGTTGTGAGAAATAAAATGGGAGACATTAGAAGCATCCACACATTCAGCTGTTCGATGTGTTATCCTGGTCGAAATGTTCTTCCCCTGAAAAAAGCAAAAAACGAGATAGCAAAACCCAGAAAAAAACAAATGTTTTGAGTTGTCGAAATATTTTGATAAAAACAACGATGAGAACAAGTGTCTACATGAAAATAATTTAAATAAAGATAGCACTTCATCCATGATATTAAGACATGAATTAAACTTTCCTTTTTTATTTTGGTCTAAAAACATTTATATGTATATTCGATATTTTTTCCAGTTACAAACATTTATTTGCATCGTCAGTATTTTCAACTGAGTAATTATTTTTAAAGATAATTATTATAGTGTAATCACAATATGGTCGTTCAGTAACCAAAAATGGATATTCAAGTTTATCGCTTTATACCGATATCAATGATACCAGAATACAGAACTAAAACATTCGGTTATCTCATCGGCTTGTAACTTGAATACATATATTCCAAAATATAATATAAAAAAGTATGTTCTTCTATGACATAAAATCCGAATTTTTTAACAATTTCTCACTTTAAATTCTGTTAAACTTTTTATATCACCGAAACCGTAAAAAAGGTAAATCTTCGCCAATGAACAGATTTGTATGTAGAGATTTTCCAAGCGTAGCTTAGATGTGGCACAAAGCCGAAATTATGGGGCACCCAGTAAGGATCGAACTCACTATTCAGTCGTAATTGTTCTAGCGAGACAATCTTGTTAACCATTACACCGCCTTTTGGCGCCCTCGTGATTTTCTAAGCTACGCTTAGATGCGGCACAAAGTCGAAATTAGGGGCACCCAGTAAGTATCGAACTCACTACTCAGTCGTAATTGTTTTAGCGAGACAAGATTGCTAACCATTACACCACGCCGAGGTGCCCAAACAGATTTGTAAGTAAAAATAGCTGCTTTATATATTGGGAGCTGCAATATACCAAAGTCCACTTTTGGTAATACTATTTAGAACAAGTACATATATTTTATGTCTGACTATCTGCCTATGTATCATTTATATTATAGGAGTTCTAGAAATGTTTTCAGTTTGTAGTCAATCAGGTACAACAATTTAAATAACAGCGAATTGATTTAGCCGAGGACGGAAAGTGTAAAGTTGAAAAATGAAGGCGGATTGGTTTAGCAAATGTTGCCTTCTAAAAGCTAAGCAAAGTATTAAAAAACAATGTAGCATTGAATGTGAGATAATATCCTGACAGATAAAGAGACTTGAAGCTGGAGAAATATAGTTCTACCAGATATATACTGAGCTTACCAAGGACTGAAAACGTGAGCCATGATGAAGTTTTAAGGAAAATGGAACCAGAAAGAATACTTATGCTTAATATCTGAAAGAGACAGTGGATATATCTAGGGAATTTAAGGAGGCGAGATGGGTTAGAAAATGTGACACTCACAGAGCATATAGAAAGAAAAAGGCCCTACGTTGTACAGTGCATAACGTAGATAACAAGCTTGTGTGCATGGATATCAGAACAGGGAAGAGGAGAGATAAAAAGAAAAAAAAAAGCTCTACAAAGGGCAAGAAATTGTGGAGAGCCGTCGTCACCAACGACCTGATGTGACACAGCACATAGAAAAAGAATGGTTATTCTTCCACGTATCAACCTGATTCTCGTCGAAGCATTGCATTGTTGTACTGCCAACCCCACATCTTTCCACTTCACCTTGATTTTTGTAGTATTCCAAACTTATCCGATTACACACGTTCTCTGCTGCGCATGTGTGTAGCCTTATGCTTTGTATCCGTGTGTTTGAGCGCTTGCACTTATGCGGATTTCTAAATTAAAACACCAAATGAGATTCAGGCAGATTAGGACTTATCGAGAAAATGATAAAACAAAAATATAAAAGTAAATGTGACGGATATATTTCATTAAAAATTTGTACGTTTTCGATGCGTATATACTGTTTTTACTTAATAAGATTAATTCAGAAGATTGTAATCTCAGCGAGATTCTCAACGTATCTAAGTAGTGAAATCTTTCTATCTACCTACCTTAGTCTGTTCATATATATATATATATATATATATATATATATATATATATATATATATATATATATATATATATCAGTCTATTCATATCTATATCAGTCTATTCATATGCATCTATCTCAATCTGTTCATATCTATCTATCTCAGTCTATTCATATATATCTGTCTGAATATATCTTTGAGAAACTATTCAAATCTATCTATCTATCTATCTATCTATCTATCTATCTATCTATCTATCTATCTATCTATCTATCTATTTATTATCTATCTATCTATCTATCTATCTATCTAACTATCTATCTATCTATCTCAGTCTATTCATATCTAAATATCTGTCTGAACCAATCCATATCTATCTATCTGAATCTGTCTATGTGAACGTATTCATATCTATCTATCTATCTATCTATCTATCTATCTATCTATCTATCTATCTGAATCTATTCATCATCTATCTATCTAGCTATCTATCCGCAATTTCGATAGAGCCTCTTCCGTTCACATCTGTAATTATTCGATCCCTACTCCGATATATTAAATAAGAATGTATTCTGAGATTCTAGGGTTGGAAGGACGCTAATCTAAAAGAAATACGATACGGTAGTAAAGGTAATGCCATAAGACTAAATTTCTTAATCCATTAAGTCTTGAAGGCAGATGAAATTTTAAGGTTTTGTTTGATAAGCGCGGGTTGGTTGGTGGGTTGATTTTTTTTAACGGCATATCAACACCTTAGGGGTTATTTACCGCCTAAATCTAATTTTCTTGGGATCTTTGAAGTAACAAAAAATGTTTTTCTGTTTTCACATTATGGTAGATGATACTCAGGTTTGTGCTCATACATGTTTGTATGAACATAATTAATAGTGCAGGTGATATATTTGTTTTATGATGTAGTTTTGTTGAAGTTATATTTTTGAATACAGTTTGAATTCATTAAGACATTATAGGATATTATATGGATTAATATTATGAAAGAATCCTTTCATGTTATTTGTTTTCCGCAGCAAATAAACTGATATGGGTTATCTAATGCCGAAATCTAAATAATTTAGACACAATTCTATTTTTCAAATAAATATATTTTGAACGCAATTGCTGATAAAATGTATTGCTCGCCATTTTTTTATATATAAAAAATATTGCCATAATTTCTATTATAAAAATGTATTTTATGCTTTTATAGTAATTTGTTTTTTGTTGGGTCTACTATTTCCTCACATGTGGGACCCTAAAAGATGCTGGCTCTACTGACCAGGGTGGACATAGGAACAATATTAATTACGATGGGTTTCAACGCTCCATGAAACCACCAATCTTTCGATCAGATGTCAGATATTTTTATCGTCATACACAGGAGGGATATATGCTGGAAGCTAACTTAATATTCATAAACAATTTCTTCGTAACTGCTAACTTCTTTTTGACTAATGAAACAAGTAGACATAGAAACAATACGTAGATAAGAAGGTGTGTCTTTTTTTTAACTAAGCTTTCAAATGTGCATTCAGTTTGCGAATAAATTAACAGAAATAAGATTAAAGGATAACAGGCCATGAAGTAAATGCTGATTAAAAATACAGGATAAAAATAATTTAAAATGTATCTTTGCATTAAGTAACACCCAATAAAAGGCGTGGAATGTACTCAGGTTAGAGGGACAAAGCCGAAATTTTAACGATGAGGGAGGTTGCTTGTGGAAGATCATATTGCAAGAATTGAAGATTGTGGACAGATAATGATTTTTCCTTGAATTAAAGATGCCAAGATTCAATTGTTAAAGGAGGAACCCAAGCAAGGATCTGTCCCAGAAACAATTGTCCTTAAAAAAAAAACTCTCAAAATGGAACATTCTCTTTAGAAATGGTGAGGACGTTGACTTAATGGATACAGGCTCGGATTGAGGAAAAGGAGAACCGAGTTCGAATTCCAATCGAATCCGTTACATTCCATTACGTGGTAATACACTTAGGAAAGGTATGAATCCTCCTCTTATGAATACAGGTATTGGTAAATAGCAGAACAGGCCGGGTTCTCTATCCTTGGATTGCAACTGGTCGACCGCAGAAAGAAATGGGAACCTAATGAGGAGAAAAATATATTCAGTCATGTATCGAAAGATACATGATCGCCTAAGCCTGTATTACGCATGTCACATAAATGTCTTACTGAGGACAGAAGGGACGTTCTACTCTGTGACTGTAGCTATTTTCACATCATATTTTCGGTATTAGAAATGTTAATATACAGAAACCTTTGTCTGAAATTAAATGAACCATTTTTTGGAATCCAAATTTACGAGTAGGAAGCAAAACCCCATGCATCACATGACATAGAATATTTCTTATTTGGAATTTACACGATTAAAAATTACCTCGGCAAACAGATTTCATCAATTTGATGATGTTATCAATGATGGAAGCGACATTTTTATTTGTATTTTGTAACCGACACTGAATTGTTTTAGCAACTTTTAAACAATATTATCACGGTCTTTTCGTCTAACAATATATCAGACTGATTTACAGGTAGGAGACATTTTGATATATGATAATATTAGGTTGTCTTATTATAGAATCCAATATCAATAAATGGTTTGGAATGAAAATAAAATAAACGACCAACGACAAATGGGAGTATTTAAGTGTAGAATTTTGATTAAAGATTGATTATCTGTCATCTGATAGAATAAAGAACCAATATTTCACGAGATAAAATATCAGGAATCTTTTTGCATAAATGGGCTGAGCAAACGTTTGTACGAATATAGAAAATGTATGAAAATATGTCTTTTAACTTCCCCGTCGGATGTTAAAAGTAATAAAAATTGATTGATACTAAACCATAAATATACACGAGAAATGAAAATATGTATAATACATATCCCCTAAAAGAGTGAAATTTAATTATTAATATTCGTGAAAAAGGAACAGACAGGTGTTTCCCCACTATTATGATTGTAGTTAGACATTTCGTGAAATGTATGTGCAAAGGAGTATATCAAGGGAGACAGATGGGAGGGAGAGAATGAGAGCGGCATACACACATAGACAGACAGACACAAAGAAACATTAATAGAGAATACACATTCATACACACACACGCACATGTGTTGTGTGCGCGCGTGTGTGTGCGACTTGAGAGAGAGAGAGAGACATAGTTTAGCCAGACAGAGAAAGTCAGTCAGAATATTGAGGCAGACATAAAGTGATAAATTATAGAAAAAAAAAATGGACATTTTGAAAAGAATGTATAGATACAGAGAAAAGCAAGAGAAAAGGAAATAATTACAATAGATAGACTGATAGAGAGAGAGAGAGAGAGAGAGAGAGAGAGAGATACGCAGTGAATATATATATATATATATATATATATATATATATATATATATATAGAGAGAGAGAGAGAGAGATAGGGAATGTTATAAAATATAGACAGTATAAAAGTTAGAAATAAAGAAAGGTAGTGATGTGCCAGATTTAGAGTAAGACAGAGAAAGGCAAGAATAGATAGATAGATAGATAGATAGATAGATAGATAGATAGATAGATAGATACTTCAAAAAATCTGTGCCATTGTGATTTCCCGATAAAGAATATAATGGTAAGAATGCAAGTAGACATGTTGGATTAAATTATTCCTCATGAATTGTATTCTCATTTGGTGTAGGAATGTTATGTATTGCGAATGTATGGCTAAATAATACATATATATAGAAAGGAAAAATAAAGTATTGATGAGGAGAATATATATATATATATATATATATATATATATACAAAAGTATGATTCCACAAGTTCCAAATTAAAATTTCCGTATTAGCATTTATTAATCAATGTTTGACACGATCTCAAACGCTTTTACTGCTATCAAAAAGCAGGTTTACCCCCTAAAATTTGAAATTAAAATTTGTGACACATATTTTCTTATAAATAGTGTATAGTAAATGGATAAGTTCATTATTCAATATAAAATCGAGCAGGGAATCTAAACAATACCGTATTCTCAATCAAAGTTTTCGTATATTCAAATTTTCGTAGAATGTATTGAGTTCTAATGTACCTTAGCAAATATTTTCTCGCTTTTGAAATATTTCGTAAAACAAAAAATATACGAGCGAAATATATAAATAAAGAGAATTGTAGCAGTAGTATAAATATACCGGTTGTTAGCTTGCCACTTGCTGGGAATCACACACATACATGAGATAACCTAAATATACGAATTGCGCATTAAGCATTCATATACATCTTTTGACTAATACCAAAGAAATACATTTCCTTAGGTTTTGTTGAAATTTGCGAGGAATTGTGTAACAGATTTAATTCAAATTTAAAGTAAACAAAAATTATAGTTTTAATCGTCTTTCACATACATGTATATATCTGTCATTCTTTGTTCACACACACACACATATATATATATATATATATATATATATATATATATATATATATATATATATCTCACAGCTAGCATCACTCTGACAGACCGACACACCATAATATTCAGGTGCGGAGTATGAAATAGCCGTTAGATAGCTTTAAATTATAATGTATCTGTTAATCACAGTGTTGACGTAGTTATATATTATGCGGGTATTACAGATTGTATATATATATTTAATTTTTTAAGACATATATTGTAATTAAAATAAGCGTGATTTACATATGTATGTAAAAAAAAAATTATATATATATTTATATATATGTGTGCGTGTGTGTGTGCTTGTGTGTGTGAATGTGAGATGGGGTGTGTGTGTGTTTGGAACATTTATATTTTAATTCTTTAAAAAATATAAAGGCATAAGTAAGATTTATTTCATTTGCCGTGATACGCCTTATCTCTAGATATAATGTCCTATATGCTTGAGGTGAGATGCCACCATTCTTTAAGTGTCTGAAATATTTGCAGAGACCCGTGCTGCTTTTGTATTTTAAATTATTTAAGCTATGGTGGTAAAAAGGAAAATTACGGGGATTTCCGTGGAACCAACATAAAATTTGATGTCCTTACCAGAAGGTATGTTCTCTCGATATATAGTATTATCGGTCATACAATGACCGTTGAAGAGACACATCGTATTTTTACGGCAGTTGCATTTATTTTTAGAATTTAAGTTGTCTTTGTTGGAAAAATGTTTGTTTAATATAATGTTGTTTTGATGATTCATGGATATGTCTATGTTATTAACGTAGTTATGTCTGATCCTAACATCGTTTTTATTAAAATTCTTTTTAGTGTTAGTGAATACTTTTGTGTTTATATATGTAGTATTTAAAAAAAAAAATCTTGCAATATTAGTTTTGACTTGACGGTTAAAATGTAGATTAACCCATATACGTTGTTGCTGCTTATTCTAGATTTTTTGCTTATTTTATGATGGCTTAGTTCAAAAGCTTATATATATATATATTTACCTTTAGATTAAGCAAATATTTCTTTATTGTCGAAGTTCATGGTAATCGAAAATATTTACTTAAATTATCTATAATTTTATAGTGGTAGTTGATTGTTTACTAACGTGTTTAGGGATATATA